TGATAAAACATCCATTCTCCAAGTTGGGAGAAAGGGCAAGTGACTTATTAGGTCTAATACACACGGATGTATGTGGACCAATGAGCACACCCACAAGACAAGGTTACCGATATTTCATCACTTTCAGCGACGATTATAGTAGATATGGCTATATCTACTTAATGTCGAATAAATATGAATCCTTTGAAAAGTTTAAAGAATTTCAGAAAGAAGTTGAAAATCAACTTGGCAAGAATATTAAAGCACTTCGATCGGATCGAGGTGGCGAATATTTGAGCCATGAATTCGACGATCACTTGAAAGAAAATGGCATTCTTTCAGAGTTGACACCTCCCGGAACTCCTCAATGGAACGGAGTGTCTAAACGGAGGAATCGAACCTTGTTAGACATGGTTCGATCAATGATGGGTCTTAGTGAACTCCCTATCTCTTTCTAGGGACATGCGCTACAAATTGCAGCACTAACACTGAACAGAGCTCCGTCAAAACTTTTGAAAAGACTCCATATGAATTATGGACTAAGAAGCCTCCTAGGTTGTCTTTTCTCAAGATTTGGGGATGCGAAGCATATGTCAAGCGATTAATTTCGGACAAACTTCACCCCAAATGGGATAAGTGTTTCTTTGTGGGATATCCAAAAGAAACCAAAGGGTATTACTTCTACAATAAATCCGAGAACAAAGTTTTTGTTGCTCGTGATGGTGTCTTTTTGGAGAAGGATCACCTTTCCAAAATAATAAGTGGGAGGAAAATCGAACTCGACGAAGTTCGAGAGGACGAGCAACAATCTCAGCCTGACAAAACTGACAATCTAGATACTTTGGAAGCATCTAAGAAGATTGGTCAGAATCAAACAGACAATGTAAATTCTCAACCTATTACCCTTCGTAAGTCGCAACGGCAAAGATCTCAACCAGACAGATACCTCGGTATCGTCTTAACCGATGATCAGGACATCGTAGTCATGGATGGTGATGAGCCGGCGACATACAAGCAAGCTATGACAATCCCCGACTCTGCAAAATGGCAAGAGGCCATGAAATCCGAGATGGACTCCATGTCTGAAAATCAAGTCTGGGACTTGGTGAATTTGCCCGAAGGTTATACACCCATTGGTTGCAAATGGATCTTCAAACTGAAGACAGACAAAGATGTAAATGTATCAATATACAAAGCTAGACTGGTGGCAAAAGGTTATAGACAAGTCCACGGGATTGACTATGACGAAACTTTTTCACCAGTTGCAATGCTAAAATCCGTCCGGATCGTCCTAGCGATTGCTGCATATTACGATTATGAAATATGGCAAATGGATGTCAAAACCGCCTTCCTTAATGGAATTTTGGAAGAAACTGTGTATATGACACAACCAGAAGGTTTTGTTCATCCAGGCAACGCTGGAAAGGTTTGCAAGCTGAAGAAGTCTATTTATGGACTAAAGCAAGCCAACAGAAGTTGGAATCTGTGATTTGATGAAGCCATTAGCAAGTTTGGTTTTATCAAGAATCCAGATGAATCTTGTGTATACAAGAAGGTCAGTGGGAGTGATATTGCATTCCTAGTCCTGTATGTCGATGACATACTTCTCATTGGAAACAACACAAAATTGTTGGAGTCCGTAATGGGCTGGTTGGGAAAGTGCTTTTCAATGAAGAACTTAGGAGAGGCATAGTACATATTAGGCATCAAGATCTACAGGGATAGATCTAAGAGGATGATTGGATTAAGCCAAAGTACTTACATTGATAAGGTACTAGCTCGATTCCACATGGAGAATGCAAAAAGAGGGCATTTACCCATGTCCCATGGCGTAACTCTCAGCAAGAAACAGTACCCACAAACACCTGTTGAGCGAGAAAGAATGAATCAGATACCATATGCTTCGCTAATCAGATCGATTATGTATGCCATGATATGTACAAGGCCAGATGTATCGTATGCCCTAAGTGCAACGAGTCGATACCAATCGAACCCAGGAGAGGCGCATTGGACTGCGGCCAAGAACATCCTTAAGTACCTGAAAAGGAACAAGGATAAATTCCTGGTCTATGGAGGCCACAAAGAACTGGTTGTTGAAGGTTACACCGACGCTAGCTTCCAGACTGACAGAGACGACTTCAAGTCACACTCGGGGTACATATTCTGTCTGAATAGAGGAGCGTTTAGCTGGAAGAGTGCCAAGCAGAGCACCACTGCAGACTCTACAACTGAAGCCGGGTACTTGGCCGCTTCAAAAGCTGCCAAGGAAGCTGTTTGGATTCGCAAGTTCAGTAGCGAACTTGGTGTTGTACCCTCAATCAAGGGGCCGATAGACCTCTATTGTGATAACAATGGAGCTATCGCTCAGGCCAGGGATACGAGAGAGCACCAGAAGGTCAAACACGTGCAAAGGCGATTTCACATGATAAGGGAATGGAAATCCGAAGGTGAAATCAGAATTTATAAGATTGGCACGGATGATAATGTAGCCGATCCTTTGACTAAACCGCTGCCTCAAGTGAAACACAACAAGCACATTGAGCCGATGGGAATCAAGCATGTTGGAGACTAGCTTTGAAATTCCCTGTACATGTGTTTTAATTAAATAGGATATTTAATGTAAGACACTATATTAAAACCATTCATTAATGGAGTAATTAATTTTTGTGCAAAATTATCATTCACTCCATTACTATTTAATTGTGGTTTAGAATTAAATAATGAGTCCATTCGATTTACGGAAATATTCAGAACGGGGTATCAAGACCATGTCTTGGATAAAGAAACACCTGTTAAGCGAACATTTAATATTAAATCGAAAATTTTCCCTAATCGAGGTCATCTAACAGATGGATGATTGATGACCGCCATAGATTAGTGTGTAGTATGATTTACAGCACCGTTTCTTGTGTTGCGAGGACGTGACGGTCATAAATCATTTGCACAGGCACAGTTTGGAACTGTACTGGATAAGACCTATGAGAGTACTTGTTTCCTCATTATGACTATCGAAACTTGTTTCCTCCAACCATGAGTACTGTGAAGTTTTCTTGTTTGAGTACTAGACTCTTTGATGTTTCCAAACATCTGCCGTAACTGGGGATCATAACGGGAACACTCAGGAGATGTTGGATATCGAGCCTAGGGCGTCAAGACCGAGCGTCGCGAAATCACAAAGCAACAAGTACGAACATAGCCCTAGCACCACACTGGCCTAGCCATGTGGATGCTAGGCTAGTTATGGCTAGCATGCACCTAGCATGGCTAGACGCAAGCCTAAGCACACTAGGTGTGCTAGGCGCGCCATCGCGGCCTAGGTGCACCATCGCAGCCTAGGCGCAGCCTGGCAGCCTATCACAAGCAATAGGCGCACCAGGTGCACCGAGCAACCCATCGCAGCTATCGCAGCCCTAACATGAGCACTGGGTGCTGCGTGCGTGCGTGCTTGGCATGGCAGCACCACGCTGGCACCAAGTGCTAGCATGGGTGTCTGGCTAGCATTGGCGCAGCATGCGTCCTGGCTTGTGTGCTAGCCTTCGCATGGAAGCACCAAGCAGCGCACCATGCATATGCGAGGGCCTGGGCGCCAACGTATTGCTAGGCCACGCACAACAGCCCAACATCACCACGCACCAAGGCTGATGTGTGATGCGTGGGTGTGCGTGTGGTGCGAGGCCAATGCACGCTGTGCATGACTAGTGCGCATGGTGCGTGGCTAGTGCATGTGCGAGAGATGCTGCGAAGGTTTGTGTGCGTATGGTGCGAGACAAAGGGGGCCAGCATTCGTGGCTTGCTAGCAGCACGCATGATGGATGCGCGAGGTGTGTGCGTATGCGCGTGGGATGCTGGGGCCAGCGCCTAGCACTGGCACGCACCAGCGCCCAGCATCGTCCAACACCAAGCAGCACTGCCTGGCTGGGATGCGAAGGCTGCTTGGTGGGCTGGTGTTAGCTGGCTGGGCATGCTGGTAGTGCCAGCTGGCTGCCAGTCCAGCAGCATGCTTGAGGCGGTTTTGTGAGGATAGTGGGGACCAAGGCTTAAAGCCATGCCTTGGGGAGCAAGGCAATGGTCCCCCCAACGTACATGGTCCTCACCTAACTCTCTCTCTCCCCTTGACACTTGTTGCATTGTAATTGGATTTATTTATTCATTGGTTGGGGAATGAAGTTTAAGGGTTCATTTCCCTATAAATACCAAGCTTGGGTATTGGGAAATGAACAACCTTGAGTGGAATTAAAAAGGCAACTCTAAGTAAGAGTAAACCTTTGATTCGTAAAACTCATAGTTATTTTGTCCGGGTCTTGACTAACCTTCAAGACTTAGGACGGTCGGGTCGGGTCGAGGGTACGATCCGTCGGAGATCTCGTATTATCGAGATTTTTAAGTTAGAGCTCTTTGGGATCGAAGCACGCGTCAAAGGTATAATTCTTGTTCTTAATCTTGTTTGATTAAGTTTAATATGCTTGTTAATTGTTTTAATTAAGGGGGCGGGTCTTGGTGGGTTTCCTTTCGCGTAGTGTCGGGTCACTACGAAACCCTACAGGTACTACACGTCCATATGTTCTTTTTTGTTTTTTTTTTTGTTGTTGATTGTTAGTGATTTCTGTTAGAGTATGCAGATGGTATTGTAGCTGGCTGTGTGCAGGGGACTGGAAGCTGTTTCAGTTCTGACTTAGAATAGGAGCAGGTTTAGTGGTAGAATTTTGTATCACTGAATGTTATTTTTTTTCCAATTTTCTTATTTGTGTCACATTTGGGAGACAGTGAATGTACCATTCACAAGAGTCCAGGTGTATGAGGTTTGTTTGGTTTTAGATAAGCCAGTAATTGCAATTTTATAATATCATGTAGGCTTGATTAAGGAAAGGCACATGTGGATCCCAGCGTATTAGAAGCATTTATTCAGGGCCGGGATGAAAACGACCCAACGATCGGAAAGTTTCAATCACTTTTTCAAAGGTTATGTTGATAAGCATACAACGCTGTCTTAATTTGTGCTTCAATACTGCGATGCAATGTAGATAAGGGCCGAGTCAGAAAGAATTGCAGACTCCAACACAATACGGTACGTCAGGCATTTATCTATCGATTTCCTAGCAGAGGAAGTGTTCCAGAAGTGTTACACGGACGCCAAATTTAAAGAAGTTCAGCGGGAGTGCAAGAGGATGTTGAACGTACGTCGCCTAGATGACTATGAAGTTGGTGAGAATCAAGTTGAGTTGGTTATTGAGGATCGAGTGTGGATCAAGCCAAAATATGCAAAGAAAGAATCTGTGACTAAGATTCGGAGATGCTACAGGATGTGCTATGACAGTAATACATATGAAGCAAGGTGTGACTGTAAACAGTTTGAGTGCCATGGAATAATTTGTCGACATATGATCTTTGTGAATGACCATTGTGGTGTTTCCATTGTTCCTGAGAAGTATATTCTACGTCGTTAGAGGAAGTATATTCAAAGAAAACACACACAAGTGAAAGTAGCTTACCATGATCCACTTAAAATCGATGAAGCCAGGCAATATCACAAAGTGATAGGGATGTATGAACTTATTTGCTCAAAGGCTTCAGCTTGTAAAGAGGGTGTTGAGGCTGTGGCAGACTTGTTGCAATTTATGGACCTCAGAGTCGATGAAGTGTTGGGAATGGTTGCCAAAAGATAGGAACAGGCAGCTAAGGATAATGAGAACGAAGGTGAGGATGATGGCGTACAAGGTGTTATTTAGACGCCTTCTTATGTGGCTTTGAACAAGGGGCCTGGTTGTACAAATAAACTAGCAACACATGCATCTGGGTTGGGGAATACAATCCATACACCAGTTAGTACCTTTATGGGGAGTTGTGATGGATCTGTCCCGACAGTGATGAAGGATCCACCGCTGCCTAAGAAGAAGGCCCATCGTACAACAACATGAGGTATCCATCTTGCAAAGAGAAAAAGGGAAAAGAAAAGGCTGTTAGGGCAAAAAATGAAGCAAAGAAGAAAGCTGCGGCAGCACATAACAGTATGTCATCGTCAACAAATGACTATTTACGATCGGTTAGAGGGATTCAAATGAGGGATGTGGATGGTTCTTTAGGGTACTTCACTTCTGTTAGGGGAACAAATTCTGGTGGTTTTTTTGCAAGTGTACTAGGTACTCCTGGTACATCAGGTTCCAATCACTTGTAATGTAATTGATTCAACTGGTTGATTAATGCATTGGAATGTATTTGTTGTTTGAACATGTTGCAGTGGTACACTTATCGTGCATGAACTGTACCAATGGGCAGTTATATTCATGTGTTTAAAATAAAGGTGGTTACATGAATAGTTTCTTGTGAATGTGTACCTTATGATTCACAGATTGATCTTGTAATCAGGGTGGTACATTCTCAGCATCTGTAGGATTTGAAGGTCAGAGTAGACGTTGTTGGTGTTGTTGTAAAATTTTATTGTTGTTGTTCTGTTTATATGTCCTAAATTTTTGCTTTTGATACAACGTAAACTAATATAGGTTTGTTTGATTATGGAGTAGCCGAGAACAATACAACTAATATTATAAACTACTGTGTTTGTGTGTGTTGTTTTGAACTGTAAAACATATTATTACATACAACAGAAACACAAATTTAACAAATCATAATCTCTAAGTTAAAAAAAGAAATGTCAGTATACAGATAATATATATTATACATGACGGATGAGTAGACCATGTACTATTTTATAAAACACGCTTATTTCCCTAACACATTTACAAGTTAAACAAGATATTGTATTTTCAGCATCCTCCTCATAAAGACCAGCCCATGCAGATAAGTTCTTCTCGTGTTGTAGTTTTTGTTTGCAAAATAATTGCGGCTGTGGCATATAATCTACGAGGAACTTATTTCTCATCCAATTTGACCTCGCCATGTCACGTAACTTCCTTCTGCACTGGACGATCCCTGCAGATCTGATGTTGTTGATAGTGTTCTCCAAAAGCTTAACACCTTTTTCTTCTTCCCCGGTGTATATATATATGAGGCTTACTATATATGCTGCCTCTGTATTTTGCAATGCAGTTGCTCTTTCCAACCTCTTCAACCCTTCGTCAACCACCACATAGTTGAAGTATTGTCGCTATAGTAACGTAAAATACAAAATTTTTAACAATTATCAACATGTTTTTTTTAATATTATAATGAATAAAATTGTCAAGTAATAAGAAAGAAGCCTTATAAATCCAAACTCAAGCAGAGCTTCAGGATGTTCATTCTCCACGCACTTCATGAAGAATGCGTCTGCCTCTTCTCGGTGTGACCACCTTCGTGTTTGAATCCAAAGGAGGTGAATTTGTTGAAGGACCCTCTTTTCTTCGGCTATCCTTCTCAGGGTCTTGCAACTTTTTTCATGTCATACGCCAGAAATTACATTATTAAAATCTTTGTGTATAGGGGGATGAGAAATAGAGTAAAAATTATAAGTAAAATGAAATCCTACTTTATTTTGCACCAAATAAATCTGCAGGAGATGACTTAGCAACCCAACAAAGAATGGTCTCTAACATTTCCAATGGAAAGATGTCAACCATGGAAGTTTAAATTTTTCGCCTTTTCGCTACTACATCCATTTTTTTTTTTTGGTGTTTTTATGGAGTCTGACCTCTGTTTTTTGGAATAGAAGGAAGTCTGTAATTTTTAAATCTTTGTTTATCTTTGAAAATGTTTGAGATGAGTAACTTAGTTAGTGAAATGCCTGATATATAGACTGTAAATGACAGTTGACATTCTGCAAGGGAGTGGATGTAGTGGGTTTGAGATGTAATGATGATGGTTAATCAATTTTAAGCGCAAATGATGAATTACTAGGGGAGATAAATAAATCCGGCACGCATAATCTAGGGAACTGCCATTTCCCAGACCCTTCACTTCAATTCGTCATTTCAACGCATGCATAAAATAATTAATGGTACATGTCTTAAGCAATAAGTGTACCACTGAAATATGTTTGTGCTTATTGCAATCCAACTTTGTGTGATTTTATGTTTGTACTTGTTAGTGAAGTATACGTTATACTGATTACAATTTTAGGTATGGGATAATAAAAATTAAAAAAATGTTGGAATTTTACAAAGAAGAATGAAAACGGAAAAAATTTTGTAGCACCACATTAGCATTTGTCGTTACATGTTGTTACATTAGCACCACATTAGCATTTGGCGTTACATGTTGTTACAATTTTACGAAGAACAATAAAAACGGAAAAAATTTTGTAGCACCACATTAGCATTTGTCGTTACATGTTGGAATTTCCCGTGCCATGACTAAAATGATGCGGTGCGACCAAAAGATTGGATTTACAGGATATGCAAAAGCAAAATACTCAAAAAAGAATAGAGAAATTGTCGAGACACCACGAGATTGTCACGCACGCTGGCAACTGTCTTACCACGATAATATTATTTTCGTGACACAACAATTTTGTCGTTTCAAGACATTTTTGTTATGACGTGGCAATATCCATATCTATTGAGATGCATTTTAAAGTCAGTTTTATCATATATGAAGGAAATTAATCTTTGATAGCTTCTTTTCGACGCATTTTTTTTCCATTCTGAATTATTCCACAAAGCTCGGATTAGGGTTAAAGTTAGGTTTGTGTAGGTTAGATTTGGTAGAAATGATGGAAAAAGCATAAAACGAAGGTAAGGAAATGGCTTGGATGGGTGTTTGGATAAAAAGGAATTGGATTAGGTGGATTAAAATAAAAATGGGTTGAGTCAAAGAAAGAAATTCAAGAAATTCATAGATCTAATGAGTAACTTGACCAAGTTAATTATTCCCTCATGTAACTACTATAAGCTAGAAAAAAACAAATACCTTTTCTCTTTTCTATGTAAATGCAATATTTTTTTTTTTTTAAAAAAGAAGCATTAATACTTTATTTTCTTTGTCCTCAAAATTTTTCCAACTTTTCCACTCCATTTTAGGTTTCCTAAAACTGCAAAATATCTCTAACTTCTGTTAAAATAATCAAAATACTCTCATATCCCAACTAAAACATTTGATTTAAGTGATGAAATCTCGAATGAATACTTCAAAAGAAAGGTGAAACATTGTAAATTATACAAATCAGAATTATTTATGACCTTTAAATAGCAAGTCTGTGGAATGTCGAAGTTTCTCCTTATTTGAAGTAAAAAGACTTTGTTCAAATTAACATATTTGCCAGCCAACTCAATATCATATGTTTCTTGCACTCTGTTGCGATTGCAGTTCCACAACCATTCGTGAAGAATCTAGAATCAAAGCTACGGAAAAAGCAGGTGATACCAAAGATGTTGATATGACTCAAGCATTAAAATGAAGGCAAGAGATACAGAGGTTTTAAGCAAAAACATCAAGAAAGAGACTATTCAGGCTATTGACTTCTAAATTTTCAGTCAAGAAGAGGAAGATGCCTGCTTATTAGCAGAATCAATGCCTGTAGCAAATCAGGCTACTCAATCTTACACTGAAAAATTCTAGACTAGAAAAGAAAGAGATCTGATGTTGATGATGAAACCGGTATCACTACACCAGCAAAGGATTTCATTGAACCGGCAACACAGTCAACAGTCAAAAGGACAAACTCCAATAAATAAAAAGAATCAAAACAAGCTTCTCATGCTGATCTTAAAGGGAAGGCTATTAGCTTCGAGGGAGAAATAATTGAACCAGAGAAAGAACATGCAGTTAGGCAAGAAAAAGGGAGCAAGCGTCAAGCCCTAAAAGGGAAATCACTACCAAATCTAAATCTTCTATTAACAAATCTTCACAATTAGCAAAAACCCTACTACTCACCTCAGTTAAACTTTATTAAATAAAAACAAATGCCATTAAATTAAGACATATTAAAATTCTGAGAAACAAAAGGGTTAAGAGGATTTATCTCATGGCTGAATGGTATATCAACTTTTAACCTAAAAAACTGAAAGCTAGATGTCAAATAATAAGCATGAATAATAGTCTAATAGTCTTAGAATGCTACGGAGAAGTCACTATCATTCAACAATCAATACCTAACCAAAAATCATAAATCATAATGCAAACACGGAGTGCTCAGTCTACAGTCAAATTTAAAGGCAATGACAAAATTACCTATGACCCTTTCCACCATTTTTCCCACTGTACAACAAAAAACACAAACAATGCAATCAGACATGTGTGCTTTGTGAAATAGATACACAAAATACACATGTAAAACACAGCTAAATAAAAAACATCTAAAACAGACTTATGACAGATAAGTTAGGCAACAACTTCATCTATTAAATCTTTTGTTATGTATCTACCAATTACAGCTACGCTTTATTGTTGAAGTTTTTTGAGAATGTGGCTTCCAGTTGAAACAAGAATCCTTAGACTACTTGTTCTTATACAGTGACACTTTGACTAAGGAAGTATCCCCTATGGTTAAACCATTTGAAGAATGTAATGTTGA